TTACTGAGCATTCCTCTTCATTGTTTGATTGCACGCCTTAGTTTTGTTAAAAAAAGTCTCACAATATCTGCCGCATTAATGGTTTCACCTCTGGGAAGAAATTCAGTAAGCAAAACGCCTTTCTATCCCAGAAGACAGTGCACATGATTTTTTTGTGATGATATTGTCACTTTGAACTTTTGTTTTTTCGAGAATGAGTGTTTCTCACTCCATCGATTGTTGTTTCTGTGTGATGGACACATCCAAGTTTCATCACCTTTCACAATTTGGTTTAAAAATTTCTCCCTTACACTGTACCGCGTGAGAAATGTCAGGGCACTACCAAGTTCGCTTTTGTTTTGTGAACATCAGTGAGCATTTTTGGAGTCCATCAGGAACACAGTTTGCAATAATTCAAGCGGTCAGACACAATTTCGAACAAAACAGTACGTGAAATTTGTGGAAATGCCTCTGAAAGAGTTATCGTTGTGAAGCGTCTCATGAATTGCTTCATCAACTTTCCTTACCAAATCATCGATGACAACAGAAGGCCGACCACTCCGAGCCTCGGCGTGGACATTTGTTCGACCTGCATTAAACATTCTTACCCACTTTCTCACCGTTCCATCACTTATCGCGTATTCACCGTAAACTCTGTCACTGACGATAAATTTTGGCCAGTTTAACATTCCTCGCGTTCAAAAATTTAATCACGGCATGAATCTCGCAGTCAGCGGGAGAACTAATTGTCTTAAACATTTTGAATGTGCACAGCAAATTGAAAACACAACATAGAGCAACCAAAATGGCGACAGTTGAAAGTCTGTGAACAAGAAAGATTAGTGCGCATGCTCGGGACGCCTACCACAGCGCTGCGACGGCACTAGAATGAAACGGTACTTAGTTTCCGAATACGCTATGTATATCTAGACTTATTATACTATGCTAGTGGCATTTTGCGATAAGTAAGTAATTGAAATGTTTAAGAATAGACTAAAACACTTATTTAAATTACATAGTATCATTTTATAGTGATGATTGATAAGGGCAGAAATATTTTAGTCGCATGCTGGCTGATGAGGCTTTTCGTGCTGACTGTGGCACGTGTGCCATAGGTTCGCCATCACTGGTATACAACATGCTTTGTTGGATCATACATTCCTTTCATTACTGTCATACAGTTCATTTACTTAAGATGACAGGAGTTTAAGTTTTAAAGCCAAAGCTTGCTTCAGATTAATCACAGCAAAATGGGTGATTAAAATGATTTACATGAGAGAGAAGTATGTGCCAGTCCCTCATTATTTGATCCTAATGTTAAAATTGATGGATGCTGTAGAATTTTGGAAATTGAAAAGAGCTTATTTAAAAAAAAATAGTCTGGGCTTTGTTTTACCCTTGCAATAGGTTTGTAGAGATTTTATCATGAAATTAGGAAATGTTTCCTTGTTCTGATTTTGCCATTTTATATAATAGCAACCTAAAAGTGTGAGAGAAGAAATATACCAAATTCAAAACTAGGACACTGAAAATATACGATGTGACTTTAATGAAGAAGTACTTTTCATTAATTGATGTAAACATATACATGTTATTGAAAGTAGAGAAAATAGATGGTGCTGCATTACAGCAGAATGAATGTAAACAAGAAGAGATTTGGTTCAGAGCTCTCTTGGTAAGCGTGCGTTATGTAATGAAGGAACAAGAAGGGGACTGCTTAGTATGCAATATAATTTGGTCCATCTAATAATAAGACAAATGTAAACATATATATATAAAGTGATGTTATAAATATTATAGATAAAGAATCATTTGATGCTGTGTTTTATTGGAGAGCTGCTTTGTTTTAATGCTGTTTTTGTATTTTGCATCGGCTGGGAATTGTTCCAATTTATGAAGAACAAAAAATTGTAAACTTCATGCAGATGGATGTGTCCAGACCATGCACTTGCATATTAATGCAAAATAATGGCAGAACTAAATAAATTAAAACGGAAGAGAACAATAGTTTCTAAGCTGTCAAAGACAGTTTAGCAAAGAAATAAATAAATGAATTGCAGGAATTTTTATTAGAATAGAAAAGTAGTTTGAAAGAATTAGATGACATAATTCTTTTTGTAATTCATATAGAGGTCTTTGAAGCAGATGTAGTTAGTTCTGAGGAATATCAGGGAAAATGTTCTCGAGCTATTAAATAAATTAATCATGTGTTAGAAGAGGGTAAAATAAGTATTAAAATTTCTGAGCATTTTTTTAAAGTATAGTGGTGGCTAAAATTGTGGACACTTTTGGAAATTTTTATGTTTTTGAACTTTGTGTGCTTATAGAAAATGTTACGTTTTGCAAAATTCAAACTTGTATATATCATTTTAAAGAAAATTTTTTACGGAATTCAATACAAAACACAAAATTGAATTATTTGCAATACAAAAAACGTTATATGTACTTTAATATAAATAAAAAACACAGTTATGAAGTGGTTTGTAATGTCTAGCTTTCCTGGCCAGTCACTGTTCTTGTTCTGAGAACCAATCAAATGTTAGTAACTGCCAGTAGAAGCTGACATTATGTTACACTTGAAACAATTATTTTGCTTTGTTCTCTAGAAGGAGGACCTGTTTCTTATACACTGCAATTACAAGTAGGAATTTTTGTAAAAATTTTTAATATTTAGTCAAGAAGCAATGATATCAAATAAAAGAGTAGATTGGACACCTAGAAAAAGATGTAATATTATTGTGTTACGGAAAGTGGTTTCCTATGCTGAAATTGCAAGACAGGTGGGTGGCTCAGATTACATCTGGAGTCCGAAGTTTGTTTACGATATCAGGAGACAAATTCAATAAAATAAAGAAGGAAAGGCCAAAAAGGTGCACCACATCTATTGATGACAGAGGAATAAAAGACTATATCTCCAATATCGAAAAATGTCTCAGCGGCCATCAGAATGATCTGAATGATGTTGGGTTTCTGTCAGTTCAGAACAATCGGGAGAAATAACAGACGTTTGGTCTGAGAGGTAGAATTCCACACCACAGGAAAAAAAAAAAAAAAAAAACTTATCTTAATTTTCGCACGAAAAAAAAGACTACAGTGGGCAAAGGAACACATTAATTGGCAGATGATCAGTGGTCACAAGTATATGGAATGATGAAACTAAGATATCGTTATTCAGTCGTGATGGGCGAAAATATGTAAGACGTAGAATAGGAGAGAGCTACATCCTGACTGCATTCAAGCAACTGTGAAGAACCCAGTTAGTATTATGATTTGGTCATGCATGTCAGCAGATGGTATTGGTCGCCTTCTTGTCATGGATGGGACACTGAATGCCAGAAAACACATTGACGCTATTCTAGAACCAAAACTTCTACCTTCCATCAGAGATCTCTTTCCCAACAATGCTTCATTTATTTTTTAGCAGGAATATGCTCCTTGCCACACGGCCAAAATATCGAAAGCGTGGTTTCGTACAAAAAGCATTAAATTGTTGTCATGGCCAGGAAGCAGTCCTGACCTCAATCCTATTGAAAATTCGTGGCACCATTTGAAAACTCTTGTTCGAATGAAGCGCCCATCAAATAAAGGGAACTAATTGAGGCTATCTTTTTCCTGGGATCATGTAATAACGAAGAAGAGCTTAAAAACTCTGTCAGCTCAATGAAACCGATGTGAAGCTGTAATAAAAATAAAGGGTACCCTACTAAGTACTAAACTTACTGCAATCATCATATTATGTATATCAATAACATTATTGTTTTAATAACTTTTTTTTGTATAGCAAATAATTGAATTTTGTGTTTTGTATTGAATTCAGTTATAAATTCTCTTTAAAATGATGTATACAAGTTTGCATTTTGTGAAACGTAACGTTTTCTATAAGCATACAGAGTTCAAAAACATAAAAATTGAAAAGTGTCCACAATTTTGGCCACCACTGTATTTGACAAGTTTGTTTCTTGAACTGTGCCATCAAATGTTCTTTGCAGTGATAACTAAATAGAGCCCTCACCACTAACTCCTGCTCATTTCTTAATTGGTTTACTTTCTGTTCCAGTTTCAAGAGTATCCAGAGACCTAATTGGGTCTAGTCATTCCTTGATCAAAAGGTATAAACATCAACAAATCTTGTTAAATCACTTTTGGAATAATTGGAGGAACATTACTTACTTTCTGTAAGGCCCATGAATTTTTGTCCACCTACACGTATCTGTTCAGTTTAAAGTCGATGATATTGTCCTTATACATGATGATTGCTTCCATAGGAATTTGTGGATGACAAGTAATAGAAACCTGTTCTGGCAGAGATGGTTAGGTTTGCTCCTGCCTGATAAAAGCTCAAACAGGTAACCTAAAGTGGCAAGTGCAATTGGTGTACAACCTTGAAGTGCATAATTATTAGTAAAGACTAACTGTGTAACGATGTGATTTTGTTGTACTGCATATATATCATTTTCTGAGTATCTTTACTGATTGTTGTTAAATGTGATATTTAGGTTATCAGTTTTGCATAACCTAAATATATCAAGTATTGTTAATTTTAATTTTAGTATAAGTGATTCATGTTTGCTATTTATTAATTAACTTTTTAAGTTAATTTAATGTGTTTAAACATTATCTGATTGTTATTTGAAATTTGATATTGTCTAAATAATGTGTAAAATGTTGTGATTGATTTAGCAATATTGATTTATTATATATGTGGTTTGTGTGAACTCAAGAGTTCTCAGGTGGGGAATGTTGAAAATAGGGGTAAATATAAACAAGAGGGTTTAGAGTTGTATTCGCAGACGAATGTTATGTAATTTAGGAATGATAAGGAAGCTGCTAATCAGTTCATTATGCAATATAATTTCTCTGAAGTTTGGTTCACCTAATAATAGGAGAAATGTAAATATGTATTTAAAATGATGTAATAAATGTTAGAGATAGAGAAACCTCCTGATGCTGTCTTTTATGGGATGAGTCACCTTATTTTAATGCTATTTTTATACATGTTTATTCTTTTTTATTATACATAGTTAAAAGTCAAGGAGATGGTGCTTCTGAACCTAACAGCTGTGATACTCAGGAAGAAACAAATGCTGCTAAAGTCTCAGAATCTGTAACAAATCAATGCCTTCCACCTCTTAATGAAAATGACTTCAGTAAAAAAGACATTGAAGTATGTTTCATTCTGTATATATTTCTGAAACAAGATATGAAAAAAAAAAGTTCTGCTTTTGCATGAAATAGAAAGCATTAAAGTGCACTTGCTGTAGCTAAATGAAGAATAATTTTAAATAAAAGTGAAACATTACAAACATGAAACTTTAAATAAAAACTTGATATGTTTTTGTTTTTTGTAATCTAATTTAATTGTCAGTTTGTTTATGTATTATATACTGATATAGTACTGATTGCATGTAAACTGAATATAATATATGATTTGCATATAATCTTTGCTTTTTCACCTTAAACACATGCAGATATGAACTTTTTCTCAATTGCATATCAAGATTCAAATTTAAGTCAAAGTTTAGGAAATCTAAGAAACTGACAGCTGGTAGCAGAACAGCAACCCTAGTACATTTAATTGCTGAGCAAACCTTCTGAATGAAATTTCAAATTCCTACTGAGATTTACATCATAATTTATCTAGAAAGGATCATTTGGAAATGTCAGCAATTTTTTATAGGGAAAAATGTATTTTTAGTCCAAAGGGGCTTTGTCCCTGAAGGACTATTGTTTTCGCTTTGCGATTTTGCGTTGAATCACTATAAATGTCTGTTTCACTTTTCAAATTTTTGCCACCAAATGTTAGTCTTGCATTATATTTGAAGAAATTAAATAATGAAGAATTTGCATAAATGTATGTATGTTTCTCGCATAGTGCCAGAGCCATCGAATTTTGAATGACGTAATCCTCCTACGAATATGGGCATGTGGAAGACCAAATTTGGAATTTGTTTTATTATCGATTTCATATTTTGTAAAACTTTAACGAATTTTTGAGTAACAAACTCAACGATTTAAAAGTGAGCAATGGCAACACTCTACGGCGAAGGGGGAACCTTTTTATCTCCATCGGGCGCAGAACTGTGTATCGGAAATTCTAAAGATATGCCCATTTTTAAATTATTTTGCGACATTACTACTGAACTGAATTTTATGGTTTAAGTGCAAAGAACATGATATTTAATAAATAAAGGTAACACACAAAATGTTAAAAAAACGCCCCTTTGAACGTAATTTAAAATCTAAAACCTTTCAGAATTTTTTTTTAGTAATGATTTTAATTAGAGATTGGGTGTCAGTCATGAATTGAAGAGCTGAAATGAGAGTACATTTAATGACCATTTTGTTGTCTTCCAGTTGTTGAGTCATTCTGTTTGATGATGGATGATGATATGTGAACTTCATTTTGGTAGATCAGGACAGGCTGAATATATAGTTTGTATGTGGCTGAATATATAGTTTGTTGTTGAAACTTGTCATCGTTTGACTAACATATTGTTCAGTTCATCACCAACTTTCGTAAATATCGAAGTACCCATAGAAGATGAATATAGATAATCAGTACAAACGTAGTGTGTTAAATTTTTTATTTTCATGTGGTGAATCTGCCAGGTCTGCAGCGTTAAAAATTAATAGTGTGCATGGTGAACACACTATTAGTGTAAGGACTGCCCAGAAATGGTTAAAAAAATTTAAAGTTGGAAAAGCAGCATTGATCATGAACCCCGTACAGGACGTCGTGTTAATTTTGATGATGACATTCTTTGAAATCTTTTGGAGTCAGAGCCACAATTAACAGTGGATTAGATTGCAGAAAGGATGAATTCATCTCATGGAACAGTCTTTCATCATATAAAGAAGATTGGGAAAGTATCCAAGCATAGAAATTGGGTAAATATCAAGAAAGTGTTGTTTCATCATGATAACGCTAGACCGCATACGGCTCAAACAACGCTGCAAATAATTAGTGAATTTAATTGGGAGCTTTTGCCACATCCTGCTTATTCCTCAGATATTGCCCCAAGTGATTTTCTTTTATTTCGTGCCTTAGAAAATTTTTTACTGGGAAAAAAAATTAAATTCTAAACAAGATGTCCACAATGAACTTTCAAGTTTTTTTGCATCAAAACCAGAGTCTTTCTACAGCAATGGCATAAAAAAGCTGCCTGTAGAGGTGAGACATTGTAGATAATGGAGGAAAATATATAATTGATTAAAATGTTAAATTGTGTTTTTTTATATTATTTTAAAATTTACCGAAAAATGCTCACAAATTTATGGATTAACCCGTTATAATAAATGTTGAAGAAAAATTAGTGTTAATGTCACTTATATTTTTAATGATATTAATATTATGATACAAAAATCAAATGAAAATATAACTTATCTAAAATCAAGCCAGTATAATTCACTGTACTGTCCTTTTGAAAAGTATTGCCTTTTATTTATCTGCAGTAGCTATATGTACTAATTATTATTTTATTTTTAAGATCTTAAAATAATAATGCTAATTATTTTATTTTTAAACATAATGTCTTAGAACTTTGATATCCATTTCAGATTCTGAAACAGTATTAAATTATATGTGTTTCTTCTCAGAAGGATATTTTTATCAAAATAAAAGTCAAAATATGTATGTTAGTGAAAGGATGCTTACTGTACTGTGAAGGCATGAATTCCTCCAATACTATAGAAAATTTACATTAGAGATTTTCGATTTGTACTTAAATTGTAAGGGATGTTTGAAACTCTGTACACATAATATGATTAGAAATGTATGTGAATTTTTAATCCCCCAGGAGTTTGGATGTAAAATTCTACATAGGGTGGCTTTACAGTTTGAAAATTTCTGCCAGCTCCTGATGTATTGAGTTTCAGGGAGGGGGGAGTCAATATGCAAAGTGAGGAGGTCATTTTGAATTATAATTAAAAAAAATATATAATTTATTAATGACATTTTATGTACCTTAAAATTTCAGGGACAGAAATGTAGTGTTGGGAGAGTTAATGCTGACAGTGAATACTGTAAATTTGTTACATTTATAATAGCACCGTTTAGGCAACAAAATACAAATATCTATTTGGAATTATTCTATGATGAGTCATAGTTTTTATTTTGAAAAGTATCTAGCAGTAGTTAAAGGTAGAAAAAAATGTATACAACATTTTAAGATTTAAATGGCACTTGTTAAAATTATGAAGAATTCTATTATTTTGGTTTTATTTTCGCAATTTGATCCTTGTGCTACATATTCATGCTTCAAGATATTTGTTAACATTTGCAGGAAGGGATTCTAAAACATTATTAGTAGGCATAGAAAATATGTGAACATATAGAAACATTTGTCTTCCCATTTACTTGATGACTGTAAGATTGTATTTAATAAGTCATTAAAAAATACTTAGTTTTTATTCAAGAGAGAATATGTCAAGACTATGGTTACATAAATTATCTGTAATAATTGACCATTGTATAAGAATAAAGAACATTGGCAATTCGACCAAAGTTTGAATTCTTCAATGCAGTCTGATTGTGAGTATTTTCATGGTTCTATGAAAATGCTAGCAGTCAGCCACAAAATGTGATACAGGACTTTGAGTCAGTTGCTAAAAAATTTGAAATAAAATACAAAAATATAGCCTTGATTTACCTTCCATTAAAATTATTGTACTGTAAGAAATAAGAATCTAATAAGTATGTAAAACAATCTGTGAGAAATTAACTCTTATAATTAAAATATAGAGAACTGAGATTTGTCTCATGATGCATTTTGTTGCTAAAGGAAAAGTCATTTCTGCAATTTTAATGGTAAAATTCCTGAACTAGTTGCCATACACACACAGTTATTAAATGCAAAACTGAAATTTCATTAAAACTGATAGTTTTTTTTAAAAAAAATCAAAATAGTGTAAGTCTAACTTATGAACTAATCCACAATATTTTAACTAAAGAAGTAAAAATAGTGTTATACTTTCATTTCTTATTGTTTTTTATTTCCTTTATGTTTTCATATAAAATTCAATAATTAACCAATTTTTTCCAATGATATTTATATTGAGAAATTTTTAGTGAAAAATCATCAACATTTCAAGGAAAGTTTATTTATTTTTTAATTTCAGTAACTGTTTCAATATTTTAATATTTAATAAGTTTTAAAGTCTTATTGAATAAAATTAATGCTGTTTCTTGTAAAGTTATTAACATGTTAATTTCTTTTCTATTGCAAAATTTTGAAATGAATTATTAAAAACTTCAGTTTTATCATCATGATAGAAGTGCTGAATTTTGCTATATTTTTTAATATACATGTGACAATAGTCAAACAGTGCATGCACATATGGATTTACATGCTTTATATTTAACTGTGATTTCACTAATTGCTTTATCATCATCTTTAATCATCTCATGTAAGTTTCTTGGGGAAAAGGGGTTACAAATTGTAATGTTACTATAGAGTGAATGGTACCTGTTACCTGTTAACTGTATAATCTGCATGTGAACAGAATAGTATCTATCACCTTTAAGGCAGCCAGATTAATATTTTTTGGCAATTCACAAAGTTGCTATTGTCTTAGTGGTTTTTCCTTAATAATAATTTGTAGAAAATACCGTTAAAAATCTTACGTTAAATATTAATTTTAAAATTATTTTTTGATCAGTGTAGCACAAAAGAAAAATATTAGAATAAAATAGTTTTTCAATTCTGATAGCATGTTGAAAAAAAATAAATCTCTCTCTCTCTCTTCTTTTTTTTTTTTTTTTTTACAGCCATATAAATCATCTGTTCACACTTCTGGCCCTAAAATTTCTGAATCTTTAAGTGTTTACCATCATATTCAGATGTTAAAAGAACAGCTGGAGCAGCAAAATCAGCAGATGCAGTCAGTGGTCGGCCAAGTACAACTTCTAAAAGATCAATTGTCCGCTGAAAAAACTGCTCGTCTTGAAGCACAGGTACGCAATCATGAGTGATCTCTTGAATGCTTGCTCATAAGTTTTGAATATATATTTTCTTGAACTTGACAGATGGCATGTAGAGTTGTCTCAAATATACATTTATTATCAATTAATTATAAACTGTTTTTGAATCGTATAAACTATTCCTAGCTGTCTGTGGCCTAAGAACATGTCATCACAATCTAGTTTTATCATTTCATGAATTTCTGTGAATGGTTTTTGATGCAAAATTTGACGTTAATGCATTGCTTATAATACTCATCTACAATAAACATTGCAGAAGATGCATAACAAACTTTTTAATAAAGTAGTACAGTCTAATGAATAATCACAATAGAAAGAGGTGATAGAATTTTTCTTACATAATTATTGAAACAAAGCATCGCTTACTGCACACCGACATAAAATTATGTTAACTCTCTTTTTGTAAACATTTAAAAACTTATTCCATAATCTTGTATGTCTCACTTATGAAATGATATTTTAACTTTCTTGATATCTTGTTTGTTTTAAATTTGGATTAACATTTTTCTTTCTGTCTGTTAGTTAAGGAATTATTGTATTTTTTATAAATATACAAGGCATATGAGCATCATGTACTTGTTTAAAAATGTAAAGTTTTTTCTAAATCTGCTTTATTTATGATTAGTTTGCTTTGTGAATTACTATTTTTTAAATCCTTTTTTAGATCCTAAAATTGTATTCTGTAAATAGTAATTATAAGTGTTGTTCCTAATGTGTTTTTAATAGGTGTGAAACAAGCATTTAAAATGTATATAAAATGTTTTTAATATATCTGGCATAATAGTTATATGATCTTGTATATCTCATTTGCATACATAGTGATCAGGGCTGTGGAGTCAGAATCAGAGTTAGGCAGATTCTTGGGTAAAAGGCATCTCAGTCGCTAAAAACACATTGACTCCGACTCCAATTTATGTTGGACAGTTTGAATTGGAAATGAAATTAAAGTGAATTGGAAAAAAGATTTAATGACAAACTGAGTTATTATTTTTATTTATAGACTATATACATTAATAAATAGTTATTTTCTATTTTATTGACATATTGATGAATAAATTTAACGGAGGAGGATGGATGTGATATTTGCCATTATCGATTAAACTGCTTCATTTAGTTACAATTTAGGTAAGCAGCAAGAGCTCCCAAAATTGATGCCATTCTTAGGAAGCGAGCAGGAAAAGGAGAAATTATTTGATCAAGGAACGTGATAAGGGAAGTACATGTTTGATGATAAAGAGATTGTTAGAATTAAGAACTTTTTTAGAAGATGTAGATAACCCTAATGTTTCACTAACAGAAAGACTGTGGAATGATCTTGCGGTATTGGAAACACTTCTTTCTACACTGAATGTATAGCCACAAAAAAGCTACAATCTGAAAAATTAACAGGAAGTGAGACTGGATCAATGTGATGTGTGTTCTCTCTGGAGGGTTTATTGCAGAAGGAATCATTTCTTCAATGTAGAAAAGAGAAACTAGTTTGCTAGATAAGGAGATCTTGTTAAGTTCAATATATGTAGATCCAAAACACTGAATTTTATTGGATGACAAACAAATTAAAAAGGCATCTATGAACTTTCATTAAGAATGGAATTTTCTCAAAACAACTGGAGTATTCAAATCAGGATAGTCAAACTGCAGACATTGCAACTGAGTCTCTATCATCCTCTTCCAGTGATGAATTAGATTTTGAGAAATATTTGGATAAAGCAAATGAAAATAAAGAACCAAGAGCCTTTAGATATAAAAATGAAAAAATACAAACAAAATTTCTGTACAGCATTTGAAGAAATAGAGAAATATGATTGCTCTATCAAGACACCTCTTTTAAAACTTATAAAAATCTATCCTGAAAAGTTAAAAGAAGTAGCCGTAACAGTAACAGCTCTGCCTCCTACTCAAGACAATGTGGAAAGACTCTTCTCAGCTTTCAAGTTCATCAAATTGGATCCATGGTCCTTCATCAAAGAAGTTTTTGCCGACGCTATACTGTTTCTTAGAAATTATTAATGCCAGTTTTTCCATTTCATAATAAATGCTAATTAGTATAAATAATTTGCTGTGCCATCAATTTTTTTCTGTAGCATCTATTACTTCTTTTATATTAAAAAAATAAGCTGCATCCGATGTGTATATGTTTACATATGTCAGATTCGGAGTCTTTAAAATTCCAGGAGTCGAAATCATAGTTGGACTCTGTCATTTTCCCTACCGACTGCACAGCCCTGATAGTGACAGTATGTTTAATTTTTTTCATTGCAATTACATATTTTTATAGGCTCAAAATCATCATTTACTTGCACATAATCGAGAGTTATTGGAACATATCAAGAAATTGGTGGATCATATTCATACTATTGAGGAAAAGTTTCATAAGGCAGAAAAACTTGATGGAACTTGTTTTCCTGAATCATTCCTTCCATCTCATGTAAGTTATTAAAAAACTGTATGGATGAATTAAATTCTAACCTCCAATGATGGTTTCCAGCCAGCATCTATGAACTAGAGTTATTTTTACATGCATGTACTTTGAAATATGTAATAGCACATGCTCTAAATTACTGATCTCAAACTCAAGTCGCATGCGGGCTGAATGTTCAATCTGGAAACAGCTGATGGGCTAGAATTTTTTTTAACAAAACTGAAAATTTTATTAACAAAAAAATTTTAAATAAATTTTAATTTGCTCACTAAATATTTATCAATTTATCAAATCATACATAAACAATAATAATACACTCTTTTGAAAAAAAAAAAAGAAGAAGCACCAAGGACTTTCGCAATTGTGACAAAATACTGTCCACCATCTCACGGCGCTTGTCTGAGGCGGGGTTATGCTCACAGAGGCCATTGAGACGTTTGCCTTTGACCCACAACATCGGCGGGTTGTCTGGTGTGGTGTCACAGCCGATCATCATGGCTGCCATCAGACTTGTACCGTACAGTCTTCAGCGATGAATCTCGTTTCAATCTTGAAGCAGATGACCACCATGTTCATGTCTCGAGAGGATGGGGCCAGCAGTCCCAATCAGCCTTTCTTTTACAAAGGCATACAGCCATAACCCCTGGTGTAATGGTGTGGGGTGCTATATCTTATGACAGCAGGTCATCGTTAGTCATCCTCCCAACATCTTTAATAGCTCAACGATATGTTGATACCACACCGATGAAACCGCACATTGATAAAAGCCCACATTTTTTCAGCTGTAAAAAGCAGATTCATAATAAATATAAAATGAAAAATAAATTAAATCAATAATAATAATTACTAAAAGCCCGTAAGTCGCTTTCACGTATTTCAGGATTTAACTCCGCATATAAATACTTACCAGTTTTAGTTGAATGGGCTAAAACATTTATTTAGGAGATAAATATATGATAAGATATAGTTTTTATTCTTATCAATAGAAAAATAGCACTAAAAAAATCTGAAAGGTTCCAGATTTTAAATTACGTCCAAAGGGCCCTTTTTTAACATTTTGTGTTATCTTTATTTACTAATTAGCATGTTCTTCGCACTTAAACCATAAAATTCAGTTCAATAGCAATATCGCAAAATAGTTTTAAAATGAGCATATCTTTAGAATTTCAGGTACACAGCTCTGCGGGCTGGAGATAAAAGTTCCCCCTGTAGAGAGTTGCCATTGCTCGCTTTTAAATCATTTTGTTAATCAAAAATTCATTTAGTTATACAAAATATGAGATCGATAATAAAGCAAATTTCAAATTCGGGTTTTCAGATGCCCATATTTACAGTAGGATTATGTCATTCAAAATTGGATGGATCTGGCACAATGCGAGAAACATATACATGTATGTGTAACTTTGCTAGTATATTTACGTGAAAGGGAAGTGACCTCGTACTAGCCCTACAAAGGGAGGTGAAAGGGAATACTGGCCACACTGCTTCTTTCAATTCTACAAAATTATAAGGAATATAAAATGTATGCTAATTTTCATCATATATAGAGAATAATTTATGAATAATTTAACAATTCAGAAAATGTTGCATGTAATGAATTTAATATGGAGAATTAGAGCCAAACTTTTATTTCAACGAAAAAGATTATTATGATTGACTATTATAATTAAGAAAACATTTGTGTGCAATATCACAAATACTGTTTCAATAGTGAATTAAAAGCACGGTTAAATTTTGACAACTTCAATTTTACATAAATCAATTTCATTCCCAATTGAAATTTCATTTTTAATCATAATAATTATTATTCGTAACATTTTTCAGGAAGTCATAGCTATTTTGAATTTCCTGAAAATGTGTGCTGTTTTTAAGTGGGCATTCGTCTTTTGGGCTTTTGTCATGCAGTTTTCTTACTGGCTGCTGGCTTTTCAGGTGGAAAACCATTGCGTTCCTTTTCTGTTGCCCCCAGCTGAGTGAAAAAGTAGTTAAAGAGAGGACAGCCTTCTTAATTACTTTATCGCCTATCCAACCCGGGGTGCCAAAGAACGGCCTCAGAAGGAAGGGTGGCAGGAGAGCAATGCTAATGAGAAATAAATTAAAGAGAATTTTAGATATTTTTTGTTAGTTACTACGAAATAAAAATATCTGAAATTTCGCTTGTAATTGAAGTTAACTCCCTTCTTGCATTTCCTGTAGTCTAGTTCTTGAATAATTTTCATCTAAGGATTTAGCTAAAATTTCAGTTATTTTAAAAATTTTCAATTAAGTGGAAAACGAAAGGAATTAAATATTACTGAAGGTGATTTGAAAATATTTTTTAACCGTTTTAAAGGGATAATTCACTGTTTTTGCAGTAAAATTGCTGAGTGGAAAAAGATGCTACTTTCTGATTGGATAGTGTATCTAACAACATTTTGATGAACTAATTAAACATGTTTGTTATATCAAAGCAAAACCATTGTTTAAAAGTAAAACTATTGAACTATTTCTAAAAAATAAAATTTACGTAAAAGTAATATTTTTCTTTTTAACTTTCGTATGGTTGAAAACGGATTTAACTATTCGAATAATTTAAATAACAAAGGGTTCTGAACTCAAGAACAAGAGGATTTATTAACCAGGAGTCCAGCATTGTAAGAAAAGTAATCTTGGACATTAAAAATAAATCTTGTTTCAATAAAAAATGCTATGTTACTCAATTAGCTGTAAACGCTTAAAGTTCATTTTACTTTACCATAATTATTTATATACAAAAACTTTCAGTGAGGCAAATTTAAAGAGCATTTACAAACTGAATTTCACTGGAATTCTAGGACTGAGTTTCTAATATCTTGTTTTCTAGCATGAAATGTTTCCAGTTTTTAAGGTACACGTTCCTAAGAATAATTCATTAAACAGAAGTTAGTATGAGCATGTAAGGTATAATTCAATTTTGATCTCTTAAGTTTATTAGGTCTGGCTAATAAATAAACGTTTTAGAATTCAGCATCAAATTTTAAACATAATTTTTTATAAAATTTGTGTTTTAACTTTTATTTTCAAAAAACATGCACGTAATCCGAAGTTTTATATTACAAAAGTTAGTATAAAAGAAGTATGACAAATTAAATTATCTGTACATTATATCACTATTAAAAACTAATTCAGTCTAGACTATAGGTCCTCAATCAGGAGGAATACCCCTAAGGGGAATTTCTTAGTTTCAGGGAGTAATCTAGTCAAAGTTTTGTCTATCTGTTAAGTATTTAGTTTTAGTTTATGAATATAAAAACCACTTTTCAAATTTTGGTATTTATCAACATTTTTTATACTTGTTTAATTTGTAAAACGCATTAAAATAATCTATATTTAAATAAATGCAAATGTACTTCTCAAGTTTTGGAAAGGAGGGATTAAATGATCGTCTGGCAATGGTGAAAAGGGTACATGAATGAAAAACTGTAGAGAACCATTAGTCTAGACTGGGCCAACTTGAAGTAAATATAGAATTTTATACTTTATGTATTTTGTATTTTTAGTTCTTCCTGTAGAGTCATTCCTCTTTTTTTTTTTTTTTTTTTTTTTTTTTTTTTTTTTTTTTTATGTGGGAGACATGAAAATAAGCTATGCCCTATTTGAGACTCGAACTTGGACCTTTCGAGTACGCGCTGATTGTGCTAACCGCTACATCATGAAGGCATGCTGGAAGGAGGGAGAAACTGCCTTATATACTCCACCTTTTAAAGGGGGACTGTGGATTAGGAGACCCAGTCGCCTAATCCTGGTGTGGAAGATTCATCATCCATCACCTTTTTTTTAGTTCAGGTGCCATGCTGGAGACGTGAAAAATTAGCAATGCGCTCGCCGGGACTCCAACCTGGACCTCTCGAATACGTGCCGAGTGGGCTAGCCATTACTCTACAAAGGCGTATTGGAAGGAGGGAGAAAGTACTATTCTGTTATGTATTATTTTAACTGTACTGTCAATTCTACTTTCCACTTGAGTGTAAATAAGTTAGTAAGCAAACGTGTTTAGGATGCAAATGAGTTATTATTTAAGGCGAAGCTTTTGAGTACGTTGGCTTCTGCTGTCAGGGCTTAGCCATTTACGGCCGTTGCATTAAGTGCGCCAGTAAGTTAATTGTCAGAGTAAGCCTGTTAGGCTAATCTTGAATTGCACTATTTAATTTATTACTTGAAATGTTAAGTTTATTGGTTGCCTGATACTTTAGCAACTCAATATTTTGTAGATTGAGTTGTTAAAGTATCAATACAGCAATACTTAAGTGTAAGCAGTAAGCATAGAATTAAGTAAGCTTTGTAAACAATTTTATATTTCTAACTTAATTTTGATAATAAACACTGAACAGATTATGTTTTCAAAAATGATTTGTAAAGTGGGAACATCATGCCTGTATCTACTGCAATATGTAATGTCTTGAAACATGTCGCCTGTATCCATTACAATAAATAGCGTCATAAAACATTCACCTGTACAACTATGTATCGCTATGTATATCATGTAATGTAATGCATTTTACTTGATCTAATTTAACGCCCAGTGGTGGCAGAACTTGCAGTGTTAGCTGGAATCACAATTTCATTATGACACAATGACGCCAGAAGGTTGTTGGTTTTCTAGTCAATATGTGGGACTAATGGCTACTTAACTTTGGGTAAATATTAGGTGGCCCCTTTATTTCTATGTAACATAACATGACAAGCAGTGGTCTATATGTTAAGCACAAGGTGTGCTCTTGTGAATAGTTCTGTTGAATAAAAAGTTTCAACTTTTATCCTTAGTCTGTTGTTACTGAACATCATGTTGTCTAGTGAGTTTGGTTTGGTTTGGTTTATGTGATTACGGCAAAGCCTTGAGGGCTATCTGACTGAGGGGAAGGATGTCTTTGTGGAAAACTTTCTAAGAGAAACTGGCTCGTATGCAAGTTAAACATGGGGAAAACCACGAAACCGCCCATGCAGCCAGCCTGTTCGCAGTATTCGAAACACCAGTGTTCTGGGACATT